TCTCTCTCTCTCTCTCTCTCTCTCTCTCAAAGTATCAAACATAAATCCTAACTGAATCCCACCAAAGTTCCAATTCTCTGCAATAAAGCATCGGTCCTCACTAACAAAAATTGTGGAATAATACCTAGGCCCTTATTAGTGAAGATGTATACTGTTCTCACTGTTGATGTGGATCAATAGTAAATGGAAACTTCCTATTTAATTATTAAATTAAGGATGGTGAGATGATGTATATATATACCACCATCTCTAATGTATGTTGTCCTCACTGCTGATGTGAACCAATAATACATGAATACTTCCTATTTAATTATTAAATAAAAGATGGTGAGATGATGTATATATACACCACCATCTTTGATTTAGTAATGAAAAAAAATATATTCATTTTTTTATTGGTGCACATCAGAGGTGAGGACGGTATATATCTTCACTAGTGAGGACCTAAGTATTATCCAAAATTGTAAATAGATGTTAGGGAGGTTTTTTTTAATTAATCATGGCATTACACCATAGGTTGCGGTTGGACACTTCCTCAACTTGATCTTTACTTGTATATATATATACACATATACAATACTTATACAACCTAATTTCCCTATAGGTCAAACATGATCTTAAAAGTTTTTTATTTATTTTTTTCCTTCCTTCCTATCCTATCAAAGACAGCAAAACAAAACAACAACAAAACCATTACATGGAGCACAAAGACAAATCCTTCAAAGCCAACTCAGTAATGTGATAAGGGAGAAAGGAAAGAAGACAATTAGAATTTAAATGCCCACGGGACAAAACTACAAGAGCATGAGCCACACAATTTGCAGTGCATCGAATATGAGTCATTGTAGCCGACAGAAAAAACTTCAACACTGTAACAATATCAAAAACCAAGGACGCAACTTCCATTGCAGCACCACCCTCACCCTTCATAACCATTACAAGCACTTTAGCATCAGATTCAAAGCATAAATGTGTCAGTTGAAGCAATTGAGCCCAAAAAATAGCACGGCGAAAACATACAGCTTTTGCCACCAAAGCCGAAGCAACCGGAAAAGACTGAAACACCATACTGAAAAGGATTGAGCCATTCGAGTTTCTAAACACTGCTCCGCCACTACCCATGGAGGAAACGACTGAAAAGCAAGCATCCACATTAGACTTAATATGGCCAGGTAAAGGAGGACTCCCAACAGAAGAGGAAGAAAGATTAGAAGTTGGACCACCCGTAATCCTCCTACACCTTATTCACAATTCAGCGAATTCCCAATATTGTTCCACTGCAATATGCAAAACTTGTAAAGGACTCCATTAGATCCTAAAAGTTGTTAATCAATCAAAAGCCTATATATATTTATCAATCGCAGTTTGCTTTTACATTACAATGGGCTGCCAATTCACATGTCACATCATTAACGATATTTTATCGTGAAAATTATTCATGACATTTAGGGTCGCGAGCAAAAAACACCTCTATAGTATAACCCTTATACGTTCTGAAAATCCATAACATTCAATTTTTGAGCAAATAAAGACTTGAATGCTGAAAAGACTGAAATGTCCGTCATAACTGAATCAAAAAATAGTAATGATTAAGGGTGCCCACGGTTTGGTTATGTAAGGTTCCTATTAGAACCGGTCACAACGGTTCCTTAAAAATGAAACCGGAACTGGAACCGTCATGTATGTAACTGAACCGAAATCGAACCGTGAGTACCGGTTCTGTTCCACGGTTCCTCACCTAGTTACTTTTTCCCTATTGTTCCCTTATTGACCGGAGAAGGTTGAGAAGCCGACTGACCGGAGAAGGCCGAGAAGCCGTCTCAGAAACAGAGTTACAGAGAACAGTTCGATTCTCACGGTCTTATGGTTCTTTTGTGCATCTCTAGTAATGATACTCTGACCGGCCCAAACGGCCAAAAAATATCCCAATCAGATGTGACGCCACGTTGGATACAGGTATGCATGATCTCTCTCTCCTCGATTCACTCTCTCCTCTATTGCGATTTCCGTTTCTACTCTCTCTATCTGCAAATTTGTGTAACCATGTTGAAAGAAAGATCTTTCAAGTGATGGTGTTCCTCCAAAATCAAAGAGCATTGTTAGGGCAAAAATAGTATATATATATATATATTTGCATCTGACTGTATGTTTCACTTTTGAAGGGTGAGAGTTTGTATTGATGGTGATGAGTTTACTATATATATATATATATATATATATATATATATATATATATCAACTATTACGATCTATTTCCACCTGCCGTAAAACTAAACAGAAGCGACTGAGCGACTTGTTGCTGCAATTTCTTGAACACCGTCGACTTCTCTAGCTTAATGACCTGATTACAATGATTACTCTTTTCCTTCTTTGATTACTCTCCGTCCAAAATCAGATGAAAAAAATGGAATTTTTAGAAATGAGTGTCGATCTTCAAGGGGATTTTGCAACGTCTTGTTTGCTTTCCAACCAAAACCCGCAAAAGCATCCAAAACCCACAAAATCTGGGATTCCGACTCCCAAGAGCTCAGCTTGGGTTATATCTGTGATTATTTCAAGTTTGGTTTTCTAGAAAAAAAAAAAAAAAAAGGTTTCTAGAAAAAATTTACTAAATTCATTTGACAAAGTGAACAAAGGCAGAGAATAAATTCAGTTGCTCAGAAAAAAAAAAAAAAAGAAAAAAAAAAAAGATAACGACGGATAGAGATTGATCTAAATGAGATAAATCACAGAGAAGAATGGAGGAGAGAGAATTGAAGAGGGTGAGGGAGCCACATCATCGGAGTAGTTAATTTTAGAATGACCTGGCAGTTTACACGTTGGATTCAGACCAGCTGTCGGCCTTAAGGGTCCGAAGATAAAAAAATAATTAAGTGTGAAATAATTAAAGTATTTTTTTATTTTATATTATTTTATTTTTTGGATAAAGTGATAAAAACACTCATGATATTTAAATTTTAGGCAAATATTACCCATAACCTTCTCTTTTTGAAGTATGTAAGTTCGTTAAGATTGAAAAAAAAAAACAAGAAAGAAAAAAAAAGAAGAAGCTTAATTGGTATAATATATATCAAAAAATCAATATAATATATATCAGAAGGCTTAATTAGTATAATATATATCAGAAAATCAGTTTAATATATATCAAAAAGTCACATTTAAGAAGTCACGTGCATGACTATATTAAGTAACAAACTCCCTATAATACCCTTTTGCTCTCCCCAAAATATTCTATATCATATTACATATAAACACTATTTTTCTTTTATTTTGGATAGGGCACTTTGGTCATTTTATTATTATTTTATTTTTTACTTTTTTTTTTTTTCTAAATATATAAGGGCACTTTAGTTTTTTAATTGCTCCATTGACAAAAGGCCCTTGATTTTTTATTTTTTTCATCTTCTTATATATAAGGGTATTATTAAAATAAAAAAAAATAAAAAATCATATTTTTAGAATTTTATATCTTAAAAATGTCATGTGCAATGCACATGATTAAATTTGTAGCAAAATAGTGATCTTAAGAGCTTATTTGATCATTTTGCACATGATTAAATTTGTAGCAAAACAGTAATCTCAAGAGCTTATTTGATCATTTTTTCAAACTTAATGCACTAATATATCACCAAAAAAAAAAAAAAAAAAAAAAAAAAAAAAAAAATTGAGTGATATTTACCCACCAAAATTTAAACATTGTGTTTTTTTTTCACTTTACCCCTAATGCTTATCATTTCACTTTTGTATATAACCGTTAATTTAATTTAATTTATTTTTTGTACGTAACCCAATATATATACACGTTAAGAAGTTGGAACTTAGGTCCAGTCCACCTTAATTCTTAGGCAGGGGCTCGCTCAATCAAACATTTCCATGTCACTGTCGATTTGGGTTTAGGGCCTCAAACCTCTTAGAACTCAAACTGGTTTAAGGCACTCTCTTTAGACCTGTCAATGGATCGGATTCGGATCGGATCAATCAAATCCATATCCTATTTGTTAAGCAAATGAATTATCGGATTTGGATCACTAATGGATGCTCGGACTGAATGTCCCAATCTATATCCTATTTAGCTCGGATTCGAAATCGGATTAAATTAATATTTACTAACATATATAAGTATAAAGAGTATGATTTTATTAGTATGTGTACTAAGAGATTTATTAGCATGTGGATGAAAACACCACAATATTTTTATATAACATTATTATAATTTTGGATTTTTGTTACCTTTAATACAATTCTAATAGGAGTATTGATATATATATGTGTAAAATTATTGATAAATAATTATATATATAATTATTTATATATATAATTTCAATCAGATCGGATCGGATTTTTATTAGATCAGATCAACATAATCCATATCCGATTTGTTAAGCTAACGGATTATTAGATTCGCATCGTAACCGGGTTATCGGATTTTTTGTTCAATCTATATCCAATTAATCGGATCGGATCCGGATTAGGATCCGCTCCATTGACAGGTCTAACTCTCTTCATCATTCAAACACTTTCAGAGAACCAGAGAGAGAGAGCGCGTGGGCAATGGAGATTGAGAAAGAGAGAGCGCGCGATAGAGAGAAAATTGAATCACTTCAAATCTGTGAAGATCCCCACTTTACAGGCATGTACTTATTCCTACACTCTTTTCTGTGATTGAAAACATATTATATTATATTACATCCCTTCGTTTCTTCAAGAAATGAGGACTATATATCTCTGCAAAAGTCTCATCTCACCCTCTATTAAGAACTCTTCAAATCTCAATAAAACCCCAATCTCTCTTTTCTCTCTCCTCTTCTTCTCTTCCTCTCCCAAAACCCCCATTGCAGTGGCCGATTACTCGATTGATAGACACAAATTTTCTCATGAAACTGCTTCGGAAGTCTCTTCCGTCGTAAAGTATGTGAAAAGGCCTGAAGACCGATTCGATTCTTTCATTTCTCCAGGAAAGTGGTTTTGCGGATACCCATTTCGAGCGTGTTATCAAACGCATGCCTAAAGTTCTCTCTGCAAATCTTGAGCGCACCATCAAACCCAAATTCAAGCTTTTTCGAGACTTGGGTTTTTTTTCTAGCGATGTTGTGGAAATCGTTTCGTCTGACCCAAAGACTTTAACTAGTTGCATTGATAATTGGCTTGGCCCGTCGATTTTAGCATTGAAGAGTGTTTTGGATTCGAATATGGATGATGTGTCTAGTGTTTTAAAGAGATCTGGGTGGTTTTCGAGGTCTGATTTGGCGAAAACTATGACACCAAATATTGAATTTATTATGAAGAGTTGTGGTTTGAGTTCGATACAAATTACCCAGTATGTGTATAAATGGCCAAGATTATTCATGTATAAACTGACGCAGATTAGAGAACATGTGAAGGGGGTTGATAAGATGGGCATTGTTAGGAAGTCTAAGATGTTTCTTTCTGGGATTCAGGCTATTTGTTCGATGTCTACAGAGAATTGGGAATTGAAATTGGAGGTGTTTAAGAGTTTGGGATTTTCGGAAGACGACATTCTTTCCGTTTTTAGGAGGGCGCCTCAATTATTTGCTCTTTCAGAGAGGAAAATTAAGGCGACAACGCAACTTTTACTTGGCACAGGCAAATGTGATATCTCATATGTTGCCTTGGCATGGCAACATTACCATTCCAATAAAAAAATGAAAAGAAAAAAATAATAAATAAAATATGAGTATTCAATGACACTTTGGAATTGGAATTGGGAGCTCCAATCCCAAATCTGTTGTTTGGATATTACAAAACAATTTGGGATGGAATTGCATTGTAATCCCAAGCATATCAAATCGTCAATTTGAATCCCACGGTTCAACAAAAAAATTTACAATACCAAAACAAACCCCAACACAACACCTCTCTCCCCCATGCTCACTTGACCCCACACTCCTGCAATATTAGAATTAGATAAATGAAAATTTTAATTATAAAATTTAATAGTATCTCGTTCTCTTGCTGGTATATACATGTGTATTATATATATATATATAGTATATATACACACATGTATAGTATTATAGAAAGTTGTTGGCAGCTTTTTTTTTTTTGGTCGCTGGCGGCCTATTTTTTTCACGCTGAATTTTTTAATACTGTACATATGTGTTTATATATATATACATACATACATACATACATACAGATGTACACATGTTTATATCTATATACCCTATAAAAGTGTATTCAATTTTGATTTTTTATATTCACTTATAATAATTTCTTTAATTAACAAAAATATTATATGCATTTCTTTTTTACACACTGTTTGTTTGTTTTTTTTTTTTTTTTTTTTCCAAAGAGTTCTTGTTTTAAACAATTTTTTAATTTTAATTTAAATCAATTTTACACGAATTCTGGATTTCTATAATAAAAAATCAACTTTAATTATATACCATACATTGAAAAAAATGGTAATTTCTATTTATTAAAAAAAAAATTGGTAATTTCTTGCAACGTAATTTCCAAAAGGCATCAACAGTTAAGATTCCTATTGTGAAGGGTTGTCTATCGCTTATATATACTTACGAGTCATATGATCTCAGGAAAAAAAAAAAAAACTCTTACATATTGTCTTCTTCTCTGCAAAGACCTTATTTTATTTTATTTTCAGGACTATATCGTAAGTTGTAATACCCCTAATTTTAAAAAGGATATAACTGGAATTTCTTTATTTATTTTATGTGCATTTTATTGATTTATTGATTAGTTGATTTATGTGCATTTTAAATATGATTTATCTGGCTATGTGTTTAAGGGTTTTTATTTGCTTAATTGATAATTGTGTTTGTTTAAATTCATTGTAATTGTTTTTAATTTAATTATTGGTTAATTTAAAGCATTTAATTATTTATTGACTTGAAATTTGGTATGTGTTTTGAGTGATTTATTTTATATTTATTTATTTATTTTCCAGTATTTGTTTTAAGTATAATTAATTAGTTGGTTATTTAATACAGATATAGTTATTATGAACGTGATTGTGTTGGGCACTTATTTAATACTAGGTTTGGGTGATATTTAAGTTAGGGTTTAATTTGTAGATATATAAGTGGTAGCCGATATAATGAGTGGTGGAATTAGGATTAGGGTTTGATAGAGCCTATATATATAGAACAATTTATATCTACAAGGGTTTTGAGAAAACCCTATTCACGTTATATCTGGAGAGGGGAAAACAGAGGTTCTGGAATTTGTTTTGAGAATAAACAGATGGGGGGATTTGAGAGATGAAGTAAGGGAATTGCTCGTGGTGAGCCAAGAAGTAACAGAGGTAAAAGGCCATGACCAGAGGAGGAAGGGAAGGTCTTGAGTTTGCCGGAATTTGCAGACGGAGGTTGAAAGGTTTCAAACCGAAACCTAAAGGCAAGTTTCAGACTATCTCTTTCCTGTAAACTTGTGTTCTGTGCATTCTTTATAGTCTCTAGGGTTAATTCAACTTTAAAACTAATGGTTGATGCATGTGTAACAGACTGTAATTTGTTGTGTTTAAAGAACTGGAGTCAGTTTTCTGCATACTGTGTTTGTGTATGAATGAGACTTTTGTAAATTAATTTATAGTGGAAGATGAAGAGTTTAAAGGACTTTAGGAACTTAGACGGAACGCTAGGAATGTAATTAAACTTTAAAACGATTATTTATGCATAAAGAACCAAGCTGAAATATGTTTTTACGTTTTTGTGTTTCTGAAATTGTTCTTTGCTTCAACTGCTGCGACAAGGATTTAAATTTCTGTAAATCAAATCCTAAGGGGATGTGAGGAGGTTCTAGGACTGTGTGGATGTAAATTGAACTCTAGGAAGTTTAAAAATCTGTATCAAAGGTGGGACGGATGGCTGGAATGGCACCGGAACCGAAGACGAAGGTCAGAGACGAAGGAGCAGGCTCTCAAGGAGAGAGAGCCGGCTCCCATGGGGGGGAGCCGGCTTCTTTGAACAGATACCCCTTTGGGGGTATTTTCGGCATTTTTCTGCCTTTCGGGCCTTAAACGAAATTTCTGGAAAATAAAGGGGGTTCTAAATACTTAAAAATTTACCTATTGGAATCTTTAAACAGTTGGTTTATGCTAGGGTTTAATTCTAAGGGGCATCATGAACATAAACATTATTAATATGTATGCTGTCTGGAAGAAAGGAAGGGAGATGGAAAGGCTGGTTGTTTACGCTAATTTAATGAACTGATATAACGGATATTGTTGGGATTTTATAGCAATGATATCTAGGATATATATGAGTCTCAAGAGGGTTGGTTGGGTTGTGATTGTGGTTGACATGCAATTTTAAATATATATAGTTGTATGCTGTAAGGAGTGGAGGAAGTTCTAACTACTGGGTTGTTTTCACCAGTTAAATGGGTTAGTATATTGTACCATTAGGGACTTATATGAGGTACAGTTTGACTTCTCTGTGTTATACTGTATCAAGCATAGGTTTTAAGTTGGAGGATTAAAAGACGTTATATGATGCAAACATAAATTTTTATGCCGTCAGGGGGTTAAGGAGGTTTGCATTACTAGTCTTTGTTTTAATGATTTAAATGAACTGGTATGGGGGTATGGTTTGGGTTGAATGGTATATTGTGCTCAGTTCATAAGTCTGATAATCATTATACTCTGCTATGGTTGTTAATTGATGAACTGATTTAGTTTCTGTTTTGTCAGTTGGATGGATGTGGATAATTTAAATTGTTTAACAGTAATATAACAATTTAACAGGAGTTTTATGATTATAATCATATACTGGATGCATAATAGGATTTTAATAATACCTGTTTTCTATTATGCTGGTTCATGGATATACTTAATGTTCTAATGAATGTGCATCACTGGTGGATCATTTGCATTATATGTACCGGTATGGGACGGTGACACATCAGGGATGGATTAGATCAAAAAGCTAAGTCCTATCCCTTCATACATAAGGAATGGATTAACTAAAACAGTTAAATCCTACATGGATGCATGTCCTGTCAACTAAAACAGTTGAACGACATAATGGATATTTGTTTTATCTTTCTGCACTAGGAATGAATTTATATATATATTTATGGTACCGTGATACGAGCTTGAGTCTCCTGATCACGGTTAGGGTGCGTATATTGCAAAGGTTGGGTAGCTAGATATAGCTAATGTTCCCTGGTAGGTCTAGGTACTTGGCCGCTGAAAAGCGTGTTTTATATGTCACCTTCTACTCAGGCTGAACTATGTTATAGGCTAGTGAGCATCATATAATGTGTATATATATATATGGACTATTGTAGATATTGCCGAGTTATCAAAGATGTATCTGCGTATTGGGTTTATGTACGGATTGTAGTAGATTGGAACTTGCATGTGGGCCTGACCCACTTCTATTTTTCAGGTATTCGCCAGTACCAGGCTGAGAGTTTGATCGTATTGATGCAGATACAGACACTCACTCATCCGGTTACATAGGATTTCCTTTCTATTTTGGTTTTGAATTTTAATTCTGTAAATTTATGTAAAGTTTTGGAATTAGAGGTCCACTAGGTGGATTCCCGAGTTGTACGGATTTAAATTATATTAAATTATTATTTAAGGTTTGAGGATTTTCATTTTAGTTTCTTTCAGCGCATTATTATTTTATTCTTAATTCAGTTTTATTCTTGCTTGGTTACATATTAATTGTTTGGTATCCCTCGGATCTGTGCTCGGACTTGATCACCCGTGACTCTAGAAACGAGGGGTATCTCATAAGTGCACTATACTTTTATATATATATATATATATATATATATATATAGAGAGAGAGAGAGAGAGGTTGCAATTCTTCTCTCCTCTAAAAACTTTTTATGTGTCCATGTATTTCTGATCTTTATTTACATCTACTTCTATATCACATTCTTATTGAAATATTTTAAAGTTCCTTTTACATATAACTTTTATTCAATATACTATAATTATTACATGAAAGAGTTTCTTTGTAAAACTATCTCTATCTTTCTATGTATATGCATTTTAGTCCAAGTCATTGTTTCATTAAATGGTGGTAGATTGTGCAGGTGTTCAATAAAGATGAAGCATATTAAGGCTTACACGGACATGACAGAGCGATTGTTAGTTAAAGTTATTATATATAAGAGTTATTTGATTTTTTGGGCATTATTTTTTGTGATGATATTCGTTTTTTTATTAATTAAGAATTAAAGTTACAATCAAACATGAAATTTAAGACGTGTCTAGGGTTTTAAAGTCATCTGGGTGTATTTTGACGCATGATTTGGTGAAAACTATGATACCCAATATTGAATTTGTAAAGAGTTGTGGTATTAGTTCGTTGCAAATAACTAAATTTGTCTATAATTACCTAAGATTTTTCTTGTATAAATTGACACGTTTTAGAGAATATGTCAATAGGGTTGATGAGATGGGTTTTGACATGAAGTCTAAGATGTTTCTTCATGCTATTCGGGTTTTTAGTTTGATGACTATTGGTGGTTAGAGGGAGGACCAAACGTTTAAAAATGCACTAAGAGTGTGAGTGTGTAATGTGGCTAAGTTTTAAATTTATAAAAGCCACTACTACCTCTAACTAAATATATAGTTAGGGTGAGTAGGGATCGTCCCAATGGATTATGGGCGTGTTTGCAATGGAAATAATGTATAGGGTTAGTAGGTCGAATGATCAAAAGATAGTTTGTTTGGTTGATTAAACTACAATGCAATTAGAATCAAAGCAAGTAAAAGTAACAATTTAGAAAGTAGGGAAAAAGATATAGATGAGAGGACTTGGAGTACTAGAGCTCACCACTAAGCTTGACTTCACTAGACACTAGCAATTGTATATTAATAGGGAAATTGAATTGTAACTTGTGTGTGTGTGTAGCATTAATTGAAACTAGGCATGGATGACAAATAAGTATAGATTGTCGAGCCAATTCAAATGGAAAGCACAATCTATCAAATGAGACCAAAATCCATTCAATGAAATCACAATTTATGCGCATACAACTATCTAGAAGCATACACCCTTTGTATTCATAAGTATGGAACACCAAGAAACAAGAATAGATTGCCCACCTATCTATGAATTTATAGCAACTACCCTACATCTACACTAAAGACATGGAAATTAAACTAAGTAAGCTAAATGTGTGGCACAATCCATTAAGAAACAAGAGTGAACCATTAAATAAAATACAAAAGTGTTCAATTAGGCACTATGTTTTGATCATCACTAGAATAGCTTCATCTATACACATAGACATGCATAAATTCCATTAAATCTAGAGAAAAGCACATGAATCATCCATTCTAGCATACATAAACATATGGTTAGAAATAGACAATTAATTGAAAGTATTAATCCATACACATCAAGTAGAAACCACAAGATATATATATAAATCCAAGATCAAAATATTTGTTACAAGTAAATCCCCAAAAATATACAAAGCACTAAGTCTAGGAAGCAAACTTAGGGGTTACTCTAGCCCCAAGTAGATGTCTAGCCACTCATTGAAGTAGTCATCCAACCCTCAATGGCTATCTCCATGGTAGGAATGACCTTCTTCTTGATGGAAACTCTAGAAGAATGGAAGAACTCCTAAAATGTGTAAAAGTTCTCTAATCTCTGGCCTCCTCTCCAATATATGAGATATGATATGTGTAGTGAAGATATGTTCTATAAATGGCTCAAAATCCTTATATAGGAGGCTCAAGTGTGACACCCAATGGTCTGGATTCGTGCACTAGGGTCCTTGCAATGATTGCACCACTAGCCAACTTTTAATGAGCTGAAATTTGTTTTATTTCGGACTTGAGAAGGTTCGATCGATCGAACTGTGTTGAGATCGATCGAACTGAGGTGAGATCCATCTAATGCTGCAGAGATCGATCATCCTTGGCGGCGCCTTTTTGAATAAAGACAGAACTCCGAGATATTTTGAAATATTTTGGGAAAAAGACAAGAGTGGTAGGTGGGATGGTAGGTGTGGATAAGATCAAACAATTTCGATCAATCTGAGAAAGGTTGGATCGATCGAAGATGGTAAGATCTTTTGGATAAGGACAATTACTTGGATCCATCTTGATGAGGTCAGATCGATCTTGCTCTGATCGATCGAAGGAATGTTGAGATCGATCGAACTTACTGTTTTTCCACACTTTGCTTCCACTTTACTCTTTTCTTCCATTCAGCTTAAGATTGCTTCTTTTAAGCTCTTATTTGGCTGAATTAACTTATTTTTGAAATAAGTACCTAAAAAGGGCAATAACATAAAATTAGTCTAAGACGAAAAAATAAGATAGATAAAGGTCCTAAAATACCTAAGCTTAAGGAGTTTAATTGCGCACTTTTCAGCGCTCATCAACTATAGAGACATGGTAGTTGAAATTGGAGCTCTTGAAAAGTTTGGGGTGTTTGGAAAATGACATTTTGTCAGTTTTTAGGAGAGGGCCTTATGTTTCTGCTAGGCCAGAGAGGAAAATTAAGGCCATAACACAGTTTTTGCTTAGCACGGGCAAATTTGATATCTCATATGTTGTTGTTAATCACCCAGAATTATTTGGTTTCAGTGTTGCAAATAGGCTTAGGCCACGGCTAAACGTTATGGAGGTTTTGGAAAGCAGGAATTTGCTTCTTAAAATGCCGAGTTTGAAGCATGCATTCCATTTGATTGATAAGTAGTTCTTTGAGAAATATGTACTCCCTTATCGAAGTTGGCGAATTATTTGTGGTTAACAAGGCAGAGATATAAGCTTAAGATCATGACATGCTTTGGGACTTCATGATTTAATACCTAGAGCTAGAGGCAGGCTAAGATGAGACTGAACCTTTTTCAGAAAAGCAATGACTTGGCGGCATAGAATGTTTGGTACTCTTTTGCGCATTCCGATGGTGTACTACTCTCAAAAATAGGGGTGACAAATTACGACACGACAATACGACACGAACACAATACGAGTTAAAAGGGTTTGGATTTAGCATAAACGGGTTTGGGTTATAAAAGAGTTGACACGATTAACCCGTTTAGTTAATCGTGTCGGGTTAGGGTTGAGGGGTTCAACTCGTGTAACCCGTTTATGACCCATTTAACTCAACATATTATTATAATCGTGAATATGACTTATGTAATATGTTACTTGTTTAAATCCAATTACTATAGATAGTTAAATCATTTCATCATAAACCTTGTCTATGCCTTATGATTTTTATTTTTATTTTGAAAATTTGGGTTAATTATAACAATTTTTTCCCATTATTTAGTATTTGATTAAATATTAAATGTCTCGTTTTGACAAACAGGTTATTAAACGGGTTAACACGTTTACCTATTTAATAAACAGGTTGGGTTAGTATTGAAGATTCTTGACACGATTATTAAATGGGTTGAGTTTGAGTTTACCTATTTAGTATAATACCCTTATATTGACACGACATGAATACGACCCACGAACACGAATTGCCACCCCTACTAAAAAAACATTAATTAATTTTTGTTTACAAAGGCTTGGCTTGTTTGCTATTTTGTTTTCTAATTCTATCACTATTATGTTATGAAATCTATTTACTCTGCTGAAAATAAAAACATTCATGTTTTATTGCAACCCCAACTTGGTTCATTTCGCATGTATAGAGCTAATAAATTTGAATTTGTGGCACTTAGTGTGGTTTGTTTCTATGTTGTCATTTTTTTATTTGGTGTCCATCCGAAAACTCCTCAAATCCTTCCCCTCCTCTTTAAGGGTGGGGAGGTACGGGGCTCGAATCCGTCCCCTTCTCTTTGAGGGCGGGGAGGTTATACCACTTGGGGTGAATGCCAAGATTTTTTCATAATTGCTTTTTGATAATTTTGGGAGTGTTCTTCTATTGAGAGTTATTTCAACATTAGATCATTTTAAAATTTGTAATTTATTAAATTTATATTTTATGTGTCATTTCAAAGATTATTATTAGCCTCTTAATTTTTATTTTTATTTATTTATTTTAACGGACCGATTGGATTACAAGAGGAAAGTGCAGAAATACAATCAATTTTCGAAGCCTTAAAAAGATCTGGAGGCCAAGGAGGACCATACAGAGTTATTACCTGCTCGATTTTGCAAGCGTTACTTGGGCCCTACCTTTTACCTGCTTGATTTTCTTTTCTTTCATTTTTACTTTCCATCATTAATTTTTGTCTTAACCAAATGGACCATTAGTGAAATGTATAAAAAGTACAACAATTGGGTACAAATCTTAACCACACTCGATTCGAATTCATTTTCCAATTACTAAATGTAATTCAATTTTGTAGTTGAAACTCATGACATTGAAGACAAGATTGTATCTAAACGGTGTTACTACTTGTGTCCATTTAGTTTTTCCTACTCGCGTCATTAAAATATAGTGACTTCAAAGGCTTGTTGGTAATATAATTTAAATTCTCAATTTAATGATGTTATAAAGTTACAATACGTACGAAATACATATCAGATTGATATTGTAGTTTTTTATATAGACGTGTTGCAAAATCTTGTAAAAATTGTGGGATAGATTCTCAATTTAACAATGTATAAAGTTGCAATACGTATGAACTACATATCACATAAATATTGTATTTTTTATATAGACGTGTTGCATAATCTTGTAAAAATTGTGGGATAGATTCTCAATTTAACGATGTTATAAAGTTGCAATACGTATGAAATACATATCATATAGATATTGAATTTTTTATATAGACGTGTTGCATAATCTTGTAAAAATTGTGGGATAGATGTTGCATTTTATGATATAACTGTATTGCACTGTGTTAGAACTATGTTGCAGGTTTTAAATAGTTTTGTTAAGACTAATATTTGAATTAGGTTAAAATTTTGGAGACTATTAGTGAAATGTATAAAAGTTACAACAATTGGGTACAAATCTTAACCACACTCGGTTCAAATTCATTTATCAATTACTAAATTTAATTCAATTTTGTAGCTGAAATTCATTTACATTGAAGTGAAGGTTGAGTCTAAACGGTGTTACTAGTTGTAAAATAAAGTGACGGTAAAGACTTGCTTTGATTTTTAAGAACATTTTTATTCACAGAAATTTTAAAAAATGGTGAATAGTACGTAAATTTGTTTGGATGCAGTTGAATCTGATGGTCAGAAAGTAGAGGTTCACTGATTTTTGTGGACTGATACATGCATCTGTTTGTTTGGAACTAAAATATTTTTCAAAAAATAATTTTTTTATTTTCTGGTGTTTGATTGTCGTAAATAATAATCTTAAAAATTTTGATAGATAAGGCAACTAAAATATTGAAGCTATTGATTACAATTTTACCGTGTTCTATCATAATCAATAATGTTATGACTAGGAGTACTGAATCGACTATTGAATTTGAAATTGAAATTTTTTTTTTAAATTCAGAACCCAATTCAATACTCCAAACCGAAAAGTAAATTGAAAACAAAATAATTAAGTTATTGTTCTTTTCCTTAATCCGTTTAAAGGGTTACAGTGCTTTTTTGAAAACAAAATAATTTGCAGACCTTTGTTTTTCAACAAAGAGACAAAGAGGGGAGAACGTGAGAAAGAAGCCAAAGAATTCTTTATTTTGTTCTCTAGAGAACTTAACAAGTGTTAAAAAATTATGTGAATATATCTTATCGGCGATAGTACGATGGATTGATGGTTGAATTTCACTGTATGTTAATCAGCCTACTAATTGTGGTTTGTGAACTTGAATGTCTAAACTTTTGCGAAGTAGTGTATAGCATAATGTCACAGGTCCCAATCCCGTAACACATAACCATTACGTCTATGGGTATTTTCAATAATTTCGGCCAACAACTGTTCGAGAATACAAAGCATATCCAATTGTAGGTGACCAAATAATGTGAATAGGTGTTAAGAACTTGATACTTAGGTCCAGCCCACCTAATTCTTGGGCTGGGACTCGCTCAATCAAACATTTTCACACCACTGTCCATTGGGGTTCAATGCCTCAGACCTCTGAGTGCTAAAACCAGGTTTAGGGCACACTCTTCATCATTCAAACACTTCAGAGAACCAGAGAGAGAGAGAGGGAGTGATACAGAGAGAGAGTCGAATCACTTTAAATCTATGAAGATCCCCACTTTACAGGCAAGTTCTCATCCCTACATTCTTTGCTGTGATTGAAAGCATATTATATATATATCTAAAATACATCACCGTGTTTCTTCAAGAAATGACTATATATATCTGCAAAAATCTCGTCTCACTCTCTCTTAAGAACTCTTCACATCTCAACAAAACCGCAATCTCTCTTTTCTCTCTCCTCTTCTTCTCTTCCTCTCCAGAAACCCCTATTGCGGTGGCCGATTACTTGATTGATAGACACAAATTTTCTCCTGAATCTGCTTCGAAAGTCTCTTCCGTCGTAAAGTATGTGAAAAGGCCCGAAGAGACCGATTCCATTCTTTCATTTCTCAAGGAAAGTGGTTTTGCGGAAACCCATCTCGAGCGTGTCATAAAAAACGCGCCTCAGCTTCTCTCTACAAATCTTGAGTGCACCATCAAACCCAAATTCAAGCTTTTTCGAGACTTGGGTTTTTCTTCTAGCGACGTTGTGGAATTTGTTTCGTCTAACCCTCGGATTCTAACTAGTAGCGTTGATAATCGGCTCGGCCCGTCGATTTTAGCATTGAAGAGTGTTTTGGGTTCGAATATGGATGATGTGTCTAGGATTTTAAAGAGATATGGGAGGCTTTTGACGCATGATTTGGCGAAAACTATGATGCCCAATATTGAATTTATTATGAAGAGCTGCAGTATGAGTTCGACACAAATTACCCGGTATGTGTATAAATGGCCAAGATTATTCACGTATAAACCGACGCAGATTAGAGAATATGTGAAGTGGGTTGATGAGATGGGCATTGACAGGAAGTCTAAGATGTTTTTTAAAGCGATTCGGGCTATTAGTTCGATGTCTATAGAGAATTGGGAATTGAAATTGGAGGTGTTTAAGAGTTTGAGATTTTCCGAAGACGACATTCTCTCAGTTTTTAGGAGGGCGCCTCTGGTGTTTACTCTGTCACAGAGGAAAATTAAGGCGAAAACACAGCTTTTGCTTAGCACGGGCAAATGTGATATCTCATATGTTGTTAATCACCCATTCTTACTTACTCTCAGTGTTGAGAATAGGCTTAAGCCACGGCTAAGAGTTCTGGAGGTTTTGGAAAGCAGGAATTTGTTTCTTAAAAAGCCGAGTTTGGCGACTGTATGCCCCCTCACTGATAAGAAGTTCTTTGAGAAATATGTACTCCCTTATTCAGATGAAGTTGGCGAATTATTCTAGGTTAACAAGGCCTAATTGACAGCAGAAATATGTGCTTAAGATCATGACATCCTTTGGGATTTAATACCTAGAGGCAGGCTGAGACTGAAATCTTTTTCCCGAAAAGCAAATCACTTGGCGGCATAGCATGGTAGGTACTCTTTTGCGCTACATATTCACATGTTTTTTTCTTGTATTCCTTTGGTGTACTACTCTGAAAAACATGGATTAATTTTTGTTTACAAGCCTTGGCTTGTTGGCTGTTCTGTTTTCTAATTCTATCTATTTTATCACTATTGTAATATGAAATTTATTTACTCTACTGAATGTAAAAACATTCGAGTTTTATTGGAACCCGAAGTTCGTTTATTTCGCATGTATGGAGCTAGCTAATATATTTGAATTTGTGACACTGTTTTCTAGTGTGGTTTGGGTCTAAGAATAAATGAAATGCTAGCCCACAATTGATTAAGAGCATAACTAGATTATTGCCCTGTTTTTAATCGGTGGCCGATTACTTGATTGATAGACACAAAATTGCGGTGGCCGATTATTTTATTGATAGACAAAATTTCTCCTGAAACTGCTTCGAAAGTCTCTTCCGTCGTAAAGTATGTGAAAAGGCCCGAAGAGACCGATTAGATTCTTTCATTTCTCCATTAAAGTGGTTTTTCAGATACCCATCTCGAGCGGTCATCAAACATGCGCCTTAAGTTCTCTCTGTAAATCTTGAGCGCACCATCAAACCCAAATTCAAGTTTTTACAAGACTACACGAATTGAAATTGGAGGTTTTTAATAGTTTGGGATTTTCTGAAGACGACATTCTTTCTGTTTTTAGGAGGGCGCCTGTGGTGTTTGCTCTGTCAGAGAGGAAAATTAACGAGATAACACAGCTTTTGCTTAGCACAGGCAAATGTGATATTTCATATGTTGTTAATTACCCAACCTTACTTACTTTCAGTGTTGAGAATAGGCTTAAGCCACGCCTAAGAGTTCTGGAGGTTTTGGAAAGCAGGAATTTGATTCTTAAAAGGCGCTTGTTGAGGTTGGAAAGCAGGAATTTGATTCTTAAAAGGTGCTTGTTGAGAATAGGCTTAAGCCACGGCCAAGTTTGACGAAATATGTACTCCCTTATTCAGATGAGGTTGGCGAACTATTCAAGGCGCTTGTTGAAAGCAGAAATATGTGCTTAAGATGATCACATCCTTTGGGACTTGATGATTTAATACCTAGAGGCAGGTTGAGACTGAAATCTTTTTCCCGGAAAGCAAATCACTTGACGGCATAGCATGGTAGGTACTCTTTTGCACTACTCTGAAAAACATGGATTAAATTTTTTCTTGTATTCATACGGTGTACTACTCTGAAAAACATGGATTAATTTTTGTTTACAAGACTTGGCTTATTGACTATTGTGTTATGAAATTTATTTACTCTACTGAAAGTAAAAAACATTCATGTTTGATTGCAACCCCAACTTGGTTCATCTGGCATGTATGGAGCTAATAAATTTCAATTTGTGACACTGTGTGGTTTGTCTATGTTGCCTTTTTTTATTTTGGTATCCACCCGTGAACCCCTGATATTGTTGCACTCATGTTCTAAATGTTTTAAAAGAATTCTAATTTATTTTTGGAATTAGAGGGGTATGCTTCACTTATTTAGTAGTCCTTCCGTTCCAATTTAAGTGTCGTAGTAATTTATAAGGGGACATGTGAGACATGCGTGGTCTACTTAAAAAATTACTAATTTGCCTTTATAAATTTTGATCGTTCAAAGTTTGAAATTTTAAACTCAAATGACATATATATTATTTGAGAAAAGAAAAATAAACATTTATTTTGAAACAGACAAAAGAGAAAAATATGACACTTATTTTGCAACACACAGGGACTCTGACCCTTCCTCTCCTATTTGAAGGTAGGGAGGTTAACAATTTGATGGGTTATATGTTTGATTCATCTTACCTGCCCTACGGTTGGGGCTTCCTATATATAGAATTATTTTTGGGTATTGAATTACACGATTTTCATAAAACTACACGATTTTTCCAATTTAAATCAAGTTGATTTTACAAGAAGAAGATTTGGCTCTTTGTTCAGGCTGTTTTTTTATTTATTTATATCGAATGTTTCTAATTGGTTATTTATGCATAGTACATATAAGTGAAATGTTCACTTTTTTATTTATACGATTTGTTGTAATGAATTGTCAGACCTATTTTTTTTAATCGGTTCATTTATGCATAAATAAAGAAGTGGGGCCCTCCACTTATAAACATTCGGTGTTACAAATCGGTACAAGTATCATTACTCTTATATATATATATATATACACACTTGAGCTCAATATGTCAATAACTTAATGAATGATAAATGGAAAGTTAAAAAATGAATGATAAAGTATATACCTAAATGCATGTTATTTAAAAATTAAAAATTAAATCTATTTTTCTTTCACCTCTTTGTCACAAATTGTTTCTTCTTCCTTACTATTTTATTTTATTTTATTTTTTTTAGATTCTAACTTGGTTATAAACACATTAGAGTATATTAGTGTCATAAGAAGTTGCACAATATTTTGTTTCTAGTTCTATTATAAAAACAAAAATTTATTGACATAATGAGAAGATTCACTACAAAACATTCTTTTATTTTATAAAATTTTATATATTTTTTTATAAATTAGTTATTTTTCTTAATATTTTCTTTAATACTGGTATTATTTTATGATCATCATATATATGTTTTTTGTAAGTAAAAAAGGCATGAAAGGCAGCTAATTATTAATTAATATGTAAAGTTACAGACATCAATCCACCACTATTATTACATGACAGCTCCATTTTGATTTGATCACAAACCAATTGCGGGAGACAACAAATTGAAATTTTTTATCATGGATATTAGGTTTTGAGATACCAGTCATCAACTCTAAACATATGAAGAGAAATGCTTTCAATCATTGGATGAATGTAGGGTTTGAAAGAAAAAAATTGTTTGCTTTTAAAGACTTATTTAAAATTCAATGATCATTTCTTGTCTCCCTCTAGAGGAGAGGTTAACTGAGGACATCTTCAGGCCTTGACTTCTGCAATTTTTTCTTCTCGCTCAAAAAGATTAGACAATGTCAATTTTAGTATTAAGTGATTGATGTAATTTTGTTACACATTTTTTTTTAAAAAAAAAAAAAGAAAACAAAAATTTCGTTTAGTGGTGAGATGTGATTTTCAGAGAACTATTTATATTTTTTTTGGTACTTATCTTTAATTATTGTAATTAGTGGTATTAGCAAATTTGGAAACTAGAAATCGTGACTATGGTTTTGTAATAAAAGGAAAGCATATAGGTGAGTTTGTAATGTAACCATTAGATTTAATATAATGATTGTACGTTGTAGAAAGTGTGAAAGAATTTTCTTATTCCACAAAGAGTAAGAGATCACTGCTTATACATCATATATTGAAACTATATACATTTAAAGAAATAAAATTACTCAAACTTAACTGAAAAAAAAAAAAAAAAAAGACACTCTAACTTGTAGGTTCAAATGTGTCCGAATCATAATTTGGAAAGTACAAAAAAAACTTTATAATTAATTATTATTTTGTTTATAACATCCAATTCTAATAAGGGGCTTTGTAGCCTCCGGTACTTTTTTACTTTTAAAAATAAAAGGTTGAAGTGGGTGTGTGAGTGTTTCTTGTTAATATATATATATATATATATATATATATATATATATATATATTCTAACCTTAACTCTATTTTATATGAATAAAATGTAGTTATAAAGATAAAAAGTTAAAACATTTTCTGTTGAATTTCGATTATTCGAATTCTACTATATTATTTGAATCCAGTTCTGATCTCATAATAATAACTATCTTGTTAATGCTCGGATCCAAGTAGCTTGGGTTAGGTCTACCAAAATCTTACCCCAAACTGAAATATCATATGGTGAAATATAAGTCCACATTGCCTCTTGGAAGAACCCCAACTGGTTCTAGGTCATGACATACTTTGGGACTCCATGATTTATTTACTCTGCTGAAAGTGAAAACATTCATGTTTTATTGCAACCCTAAGTTGGTTCATTTTTCATGTATAGAGCTAATAAATTTGATTTTGTGGCACTTAGTGTGGTTTGTGTCTATATTGTCCTTTTTTGATTTGGTGTTCATCCGTGTAAATTCCGGATATTTGCGTACTGGGCTCGAATCCTTCCCCTTCTCAAAGAGGGCGGGGAGGTTATACCGCTTAGGGTAGATGCCAAGATTTTTTCATTATTGCTTTTTGATATTTTTTGGAGTGTACTTCTATTGAGATTTATTTCGAACATTAAATCATTTTAAAATTTGTAATTTATTAAATTTATATTCTATGTTACATTTCATAGATTATTATTAGCCTCTTAAATTTTTTTATTTTTATTTTGTTTTAACGGACCAATTGGATTATAAGAGGAAAGTGCATAAATACAATGGGTCAGGTACAAAAAACCCTCTACTATGGATATGGTGCAAATAAGTCCATGTGCCCTCTATACTATGGATTTAGTGCAAATACTCCCTCGAGACTTCAAAAGACTATAATGCTCTCGTATCGGTAGAATGAATTAATATATAAAAATATAAGCCATATAAAATGACGGTTTTATCCCATGCTCTCTCCCTTTGAATTTCTCTTTCTAAATTGACTGCGCTATGTGCAGCTTTGAGCTTTGTCTGTGAGATAACTCCAACAAGGTGGTGATGGTTGTTTTGGGCAAAATAAGGATTAATTTGTCGATCTAGGCAGGCCTCCGGCGGTCCTGAAAGGAGCTGATAACTAAACAAAGCAGCTTGAAAGGTGGTTAGGAAAGCAGAGAAGCCATGGAGAAGAACCAACCAATTTTTTATTTTTATTTTTATTTTTTTAATTTCTCTCTCCATTAAGTTCATTAACCCTCAAATCAAACCTCTCTACCAAAGAGGGTGTGCTGAAGACAAGGCAATGCTCACAAGTCAAGCACGCCGGATGCCATTGATTGTACAAATCAACTTCGCCCTCACGCCGCCAGTAAATCAAAGAACACAAATATATATAAACACACACACACACACACATCAAATGTTCAATATTGCTTTAACATATTGCAATGCAAATCATAAATCTGACTTCGAGGATGGCCACCATTGGTTTAACAGACTTGCAAATCTGACTCCGACGATTTTAGATTCCGACGACGAAGTGGTGAAGACTCTGAGGATGATGCAACAACGAACACTCCAACGATGACAGTTGTCGTTGGTTGTGAAGTCGCCGTTTCTGATTGATTTTGTGGTCAGCTTCTACGTTTGTGGCTGATCAATTGGTTTTTTGCTGTTGCGGAGAGAGAGTTATAAAGGTCGCCGTATCCTCGCCGTCGAAGAGCCGCAGGTTGATGACTGCAATTGTGAAGACGGAGAGTGTTTGGTTACAGGAATTAGGTTAGCCCAAGCCTGGTTTACTAAAACCTATTTTACAGAAATCTAGTTCTAGCTTAACCCAGAGTGAGTTTTGTAATCGTTGGCCGCTTCATCGTCGCCGAACCATTTCTTCACTGTCGCCGTGCGCTCGATCTTGTCGCCTTGTGTTGTGGTTGCCATGGCTGTGCCTTATTGTGGCCTGCAGGTGTGCCACAGTTGCTGAAAGTCTTGCCGAATTCGAGAAGGGCCTTATTCAGTTGTGGCGGCACCAAGCGGAGGGAGGTGAAGTACATAAGAGGCTTAGGAGAGAAGAAGGGCAGAATAGGAAGAGGAAATGGCAAATTAGGGTTTTTAAATTTATTTTGTGTTTATTTTAACCAAAAAGCCATGAGAGGGGTTTATTTGCACCTTTTTTTTTTAATTTTTTTATTTTATTTTATAAATTAAAATGCACGTCTCAGAGAAAGAGAGACTATTTGTGTACAAAACCTAGGGGTTTTCTGCACTTAACCCACATACAATCGATCTCCAAAGCCTTACAAAGATCTGGAGGCCAAGGAAGACCATACAAAATTATTAACTGCTCGACCTTGCAAGCATTACTTGGGCCCCACCTTTTACCGATTTTATATACTTTCATTTTTACTTTCTATCATTAATTTTCATCTAATCAAATGAACCATTAGTGAAATGTATAAAAAGTAAAACAAATGAGTACAAATCTCATTTCCAATTACTAAATTTAATTCAATTTTGTAGTTGAAACTCACATTGAAGACGAGATTGAGTCTAAATAGCATTGCTACTTGTGTCAATTGATTTTTCCTACTTGTATCATTAAAATAAAGTGACTTTAAAGGCTTGTTGGTAATACAGTTTAAATTCTCAATTTAAAGATGTTATAAAGTTACAATACATACGAAATACATATCGCATAGATATTATTATTTTTATATTGACTTGTTGCATAATCTTGTAAAAATTGTGGGATAGATGTTGTATTTTGTGATATAACTGTATTGCACTATGATAAAACTATGTTGCACTAAATATGTTTTAAATTGTTTTGTTAAGACTAATATTTGAATTACGTTATTATTTTTAGAGACTATTAGTGAAATGTATAAAAGTTACAACAATTGGGTACAAATCTTAACCATACTCAATTCGAATTCATTTTTCAATTACAAAATTTAATTGAATTTTGTAGCTGAAACTCGTTTACATTAAAGTCAAGATTGAGTCTAAATGGTGTTACTAATTGTGTCATTAAAATCAAGTCATTGTAAAGACTTGCTTTGTTATTTAAGAACATTTTTATTCACTAAAATTTAAGAAATGATAAATAGTACGTAAATTTGTTTGGATGCAATTTTTGAAAAACTGGATTAGAATTGATTCAGTTTACTAATAACAATTTCATTTTTTAAAAAAACAACAAAAGTCTCTAAAAGTTGTTGAAAGTATTAATTGATAGTTTTTATTTATAAAATTCCGTTTTTGGTCTTGTCTTTAAAACTAGGTGAGTTTCAGTTGTCTTTAAAATTAAGTGAACCAAATCCACACAAATATTAAGAACCTGAGACTTAGGTCCAGCCCACCTACTTCTTGGGCTAGTACTGGCTCAATCAAACATTTTCATACCACCGTCCATTTGGGTTCAAGGCCTCAAACCTCTCAAAGCTAAAACCAGGTTTAGGGCACACACTCTTCATCATTCAAACACTTTCAGAGAACCAGAAAGAGAGAGAAAGAGAGTGATAGAGGGAGAAAGTCGAATCAGATCCCCACTTTACAGGCAAGTACTCATCCCTACACTCTTTGCTATGATTGAAAGCATATTATATATATCTATATATATAATACATCACTGTGTTTCTTCAAGAAATGAGGACTATATATATCTGCAAAAGTCTCTTCTCACTCTCTCTTAAGAACTCTTCACATCTCAACAAAACCCCAATCTCTCTTTTCTCTCTTCTCTTCTTCTCTTCTTCTCCAGAAACCCCCATTGCGGTGGTCGATTACTTGATTGATAGACACAAATTTTCTCCTGAAACTACTTCCAAAGTCTCTGAAAAGTATCTGGAAAATCCTGAAGTGGCCCATTCGATTCTTTCATTTCTCCAGGAAAGTGGTTTTTCGGATACCCATCTCGAGCGTGTCATCAAATACGCGCCTCAACTTCTCTCTGCAAATCTTGAGCGCTCCATCAAACCCAAATTCAAGCTTTTTCGAGACTTGGGTTTTTCTTCTAGCGATGTTGTGGAAATTGTTTCGTCTAACCCACGGATTCTAACTAGTAGCGTTGATAATCGGCTTGGCCCGTCGATTTTAGCATTGAAGAGTGTTTTGGGTTCGAGTATGGATGATGTGTCTAGGGTTTTAAAGAAAAGAGGGTGGTTTTCGAGGTATGATTTGGCGAAAACTATGATACCCAATATTGAATTTATTATCAAGAGCTGCGGTATGAGTTCGACACAGTATGTGTATAAATTCCCAAGAGTATTCATGTGTAAACCGACGCAGATTAGAGAATGTGTGAAGAGGGTTGATGAGATGGGGATTGACAGGAAGTCTAAGATGTTCCTTCCTGCGATTCGGGCTATTCGTTCGATGTCTATAGAGAATTGGGAATTGAAATTGGAGGTGTTTAAGAGTTTGGGATTTTCCGAAGATGACATTCTCTCAGTTTTTAGGAGGGCGCCTCAGGTGTTTACTCTGTCAGAGAGGAAAATTAAGGCGAAAACGCAGTTTTTGCTTAGCACGGGCAAATGTGATATCTCATATGTTATTAATAACCCATTCTTACTTACTCTCAGTGTTGAGAATAGGCTTAAGCCACGGCTAAGAGTTCTGGAGGTTTTGGAAAGCAGGAGTTTGCTTCTTAAAAAGTCGAGTTTGTGGACTGTTTGCAGAATGAGTGATGAGAAGTTCTTTGAGAAATATGTACTCCCTTATTCAGATGAAGTTGGCGAATTATTTGTGGTTAACAAGGTCTAATTGACGGGCAGAAATATGTGCTTAAGATGATGACATAATGATTTAATACCTCGAGGCAGCCTGAGACTGAAATCTTTTTCCCGAAAAGCAAATCACTTGGTGTATGTGAAATAATTGTAAAATTGTGATCCAATGCCAATCTTGGTGTATGGAATATTATTTTCAACGTTTTATTCCTAATTTTTATGAAATATATAAAGAAAACCGCCGTTTTTATGATTCAAGTGAAATACTGTTTTGCTAATTTGTTCTGTTTTTGAACCCAACATGTATCTCAGCTTATGTTTTCTTGATTTTCCTTTCTTCAGTTTATTGTTCGTTGTGATTTGTCTTTTCATTCTGTTTTTCTCCTTAATGGTTCAGAATGATCATGTTATATTATCTAAATGAATTTTCCATAAATTGAAACTTTCTGAATTGTTCTATTAAAATTTCATTCTTCATGGTTCTTGTGTATATCTTTGTGCATGTACTGTTTATATGTGCCTTTTTGTGGGTTTTGCTCTTTGCATGATGTGTATGCATACCTTTTTTTGGGTTTCACTCTTTGCGTGTGTTTGAACACCATCTGATCGATGAAATTACAAACTGAATATGTAATACATTCGCAATTATTGAATTGAACATATGAATGCATGATTAGGAATAATGACTGCGAATTGAATAAAGGAGTGATAGCACAATACTAAATTGTTATAGAACGATAATACCTTGTCCTACAAAAATCCTTACCCAATTAAGTGCATAACATTAGTTATAATATAGCAATCGTATCAATTGCATCGCTTTTTCATGTTTATGTGTCACTCAAACCTGTTTGACGTATCAGATCTAACAAGTTCTTGATGTCTAAATAGTTTGCAGTCAATTTAAGATTGAAGAGGGTAGTCTGGTCCATGTTGACAAAGTTGGCATCAAAGGTTTTGAGAGCATCTTCGCTAGCCTTGTCTTCGGACTTAGGAGTCTAGACCTACTTTATGCAGTACTCAATGATCATAGGCAAAATCTTGCTAGTTACATTTGGCTAGGGAATGATGGTATTAGCACAATAGTCTTCGATCAAGTGCTTGATGGTTTGAGACTCCAACGCCACGACCTCTTCCATCTCGAAGATCTCGCCATCTGAACTTCTTAACACGATCGTTGTCCCTAAAGTTAAGGATGATGAAAGGCGCGAGCTTTAGGTTAGAGGGGCCTATTTGCACCTATTTTGTGTGTGGGCCTTTTCATATTTAGTGTTTGATTTCACCTAATACAAAGATAAATGTGGACATGGTTGTAAAAAAAAAAAAAAAATTAATCTTAGAGAGAGAGTTTGTGAGATATATGGAGCTGAGAGCTGAAAATTTTGAATTCACAAAAGTAGAGAATTGCTGGTATTTATAATGACGGAACCTAATACCATAAGGAAACCAACGGGAACTAAAACAAGAATTGTAGTTATATAATCAAATCATCATTAATTTTTAAATTCTTCGCCTCCATTTTTGGTTGTGTTTGGTGGCAACATTGAGACCGTTGATCATAGGTGGAATCAACGTGGGTTTGGTAGGCAAGCCTTGGGTTAAGGTTTACAAGAATAAATCATGTCCGTTGGATTATTTTTGAGGTCCTTATGATCTATACAAGCCCAATCAGCACGGTAGACTGAAGCAGGGGCGGAAGTAGCATATGCCATGCCTGGCCTGGCCCCACCTTATATAATATATATGAATTTTAAAATTATTTTTACACATATATAGAAATTTGTATATCATGTCCTCCTAAAAATATTAAATTCTTAAAAATTTCTTAACTTTTTTCTTTTTTTTTTTGGTCCTCATTTAGTCTTTAAATTTCTTTAATTACCTTTTAAAGAAAAGTCAAATTTTCCTTATTCAATTATACTCAAATTTATTTCTTTCAAAATTCTGTCATTTTTCTTTTCCTATTACTTTTTCTTTGTTTTTTCCCCTTCTTTTACTTCTTAAACTTCTAAGATTTTTTTTTTTGGTACTGTGGCCCCCCTAAATTTAAATCCTGGCTGGACTGAATTATCATCAATTCATCATTAACATTTGGTTTGGTTATTCCAATTAGAGTATTTCATTTGATGACGATTTTTTATTTTGATTTTTAGATATTGTGATTCAAGAATTTTTGATAGTTGTGTATAGAATCTATAGATTGATTAGTGGGAAGATGGAATTTGGTGGGTCTTTTAAAAATATTTTGAGTGAAGGAATTATTTAATTTAAGAAGGATAATTTGATATTTTTGAATAAGAATTTGAAGGGTATTGTGAACTTGAACAATAATTCACAATGCATATATAATTATTTTAATTAATTCAATAAAAATAAAAAAATTTAAAATAGACTATTTTATTATTTAAAAATACAAACTCTATTTAAATGTGATTTTCCCTTTTAAAATTGATAAAAGTTGTGAGTCCCACAACCGGTGGGCTCCAACTCTCTCTTATAAAAGAGTGTTTCTCATATGGTGTCACCAGACCAAAGCTGGAAGAAGGTATAAAGATCATAGGTTTAGAAGTTAGTTTATCACAAAATATGAGTCCAATATGGGTTCTTCTTGTAAGGTTTGTATAGTTTATAAATAGCCTACTTACGACTATAGATTTGAAAGCCCCCTCCACGGCATCAAGAACTTCAATACATTGTCATTTCTTTTCATGGAACTTCAATACAAATTCTTTATTTGCATGCACTTGCTTCTTAGTATTCACTTTAATTCCCTAGTTTAGCATTGTAATTTTATTAAAGTCCTTTCATCGAAGACAAATCAAAAGATTCACAATTGCCAGATCATTTCAAGAGGGTAATTTCCTTTTGTTCGATTCTTTCCAAGTCTTCCGAGACTGTGTCTGCAGTTTCGGTTTTCCAATTTTGTGTAAACAGTTTGTTATGCATTTTTTTTTTTTTTTTTTTTTTTTTTTTTTGTCCTCTAAATACAATGTGAACTACCTACTCATAGGCGCATGCATTTGTACGAAGATTAATACATGAATTCAGGAAAAAACAAAAACAAAAAAGAGAAGAAGATTTATACATTTATTTACCGAAAAAAGAATTAGAAGATTTATAAGTGCAATTATGCAATTGGACAAATGCTTAATTAATTACATGATTAGAAACTACTTTTTCCATTTTACTTAGGTTAGCTAGTTAAAAAAAATGGTTATTTCTCTAGTGCTTCCACATGATTTTCCAACAGAAGCGTTAGTTTATTAGCTTTTAATGTATTACTCCTTTTTTCTTGTATTACTCTGAAAAACATGGATTAATTTTTGTTTACAAGCCTTGGCTTGTTGACTGTTCTGTTTTTCTAATTTTTTCTGTTTTATCACTATTGAAATTTATTTACTCTACTGAATCAGAATGTATGAGCTAGCTAATAAATTTGAATTTGTGACACTGTTTTCTAGTGTGGTTTGTGTCTAAGAATAAATAAAATTCTAGCCCACAATTGATTAAGAGCATAACTAGTATTCACGTTCTTCAGATTATTCCCTTGTTTTGAATCGGTAATTACAATAAAGTAATCTTATTGTTATGTTAAAAACCTGTAATTTGAGAAATCAAAACCTAAAAAAAGGATTTCGACAGTGATATTCAGCAATCGTTTATTGCAGGAATGGGATGAAAAGAGATATTTGTGTTAATCACAATAGAGGACTACATATATTTACATACAATGATGCACTCGAAAGTTTTAGCACAAAATGAACAATTTGATACCTATTCTTAACTCCGCTTGTAGCTCAGTTGAGGTGAAAATATTCAAACTCACTAGCTCTCTCATCCCATGGTTTCTTGCAAGCATTATATTTAATTTCATGATAATATTTTTCTTTCTTCCCTAATCATGCAATCCTCATCTTATCATTTCAAAAATGTTTTAAAATATATGGGTTTTTTTTTTTTAGGTGGTGGTGTTGTGGTGTATCATTCTATTTACATTCTTTAGTTCTTGTCAGTCAAATCTCTTATTTTATTATTATTATTATTTTTATTATTATTATTTTTACAAGAAAATTACTTGTTCATTTGTGATTTGAATTCTCATCTCCCACTAAGAGATTGAGGAGATGGCACAAAATTTATAAACTCTCTTTTAATCCAATTTGATGATTTTTGTTGAAATATTGGTGTGTCTCGTACCTAGTTGAACAAAAAGTGTGTTGTGTGACCAAGTTTGAATTTATAGAATACCACTATCACTACTAACTATTAATGTAGTTAGAGTAAGTAGGGATCGTCCCAAGGAAAATGGTGCGTACTTTTGTTTGGAAATCAATGTTTAATTAGTAAGTCGAGTGATCAAAAGATGGTTGGTTGTTGAATTATACTACAATTTAAGCTAAATAAATGCAATGTAAAATAACTAAAATAATATGAGGTGTAGAGAATATGAGAGAGGAGTCTTGAGACATAGAGTTCACCACTAAGCGTTACCTTTCTAGACATTCAATATTTGATGGATTAGGGGGATTGTGTGTTGTAAATGAAAGTGTGTACCATTAATTGAATATCAAGAATGGATGGCCAAGTAAGCATACATTGTTTAGTTAATCTAATGAATAACACAACATATTAAATTAAGCTATTAATCCTTTCATAAGTCCACAATTAATGCACACTTATTAAATTAGAGAAATATACTACTTGCATTCATAAGCATGGAATATCAAACAATAAGCATGGATTGTCCTCCTATTTAAGGAAGTAAGGCAATTACACTAAACTAATTAAACTAAGGAGGAGGCATAATCCTACTTACTACTCACTATTAATGTAGCTAGAGTAAGTAGGGATCATCCCAAGGGAAATGGTGCGTACTTTTGTTTGAAAATCAATGTTGGATTAGTAGGTCGAGTGATCAAAAGATAGTTGGTGGTTGAATTATACTACAATTTAAGCTAAATAAATGCAATGTAAAACAACTAAAGTAATATGAGGTGTAGAGAATATGAGAGATGAGTCTTGGGACATAGAGTT